ACTGTCACACCTGCCAGCTGTTCACCTGTCTTAGAGGCTCTCTCCTATAGTCACACCTGCCAGCTGTTCACCTGTCTTAGAGACTCTCTCCTATATAGTCACACCTGCCAGCTGTTCACCTGTCTTAGAGACTCTCTCCTATATATGTTGCTTTAAAATGACATACACATTTTTAGTATCTTTGAGGAATTTGGGGGCTATTATTCATTCTTTAGTGGGAATATGTCCGACAAGAAGACTTTTTCCTGAGCCCCTAGCTGAAATAAACACAACAGACAAATGAGCACTTGACTGAAGGAAGAAGTAGAGCAGGTCTGGATGAGGCACAAAACAGGAAGAGCGGTTAGACCTGGTATAAGCCCAGCACTCGGGAGGCTGAGGCAGGAGGATCACCATGAAATAGAAGCCAGCCTGAGCTACATAGTGTGTTCCAGGCTGGTCTGTGCTGCATAGTAAGGCTCTGGCTCAAAAAACAAACCAAATCAAAATAAAACCTCAGAAGAAACACAACAGGCCAGACAAGAATGAGATGCAGTGGGAGGGAGGGCTTGAAGGCATGTACCTTCTCTTTCAGAACTATACTAAGGGCCAGTCCTGCATCTTTACAGAAAGCAAGCCCAAACTATGAGGGCTATAGTTCAAATAGTATCAGCCTCTGTGGGATACCCTGGGATTTTTATAGGAAGGCATTACATAATTCCAAACAGTTGCCTGAGACTAGAACAACTGATCACACGCTGAGGACCATCACTTCTACATTTGAAATTTAAATAAAACTCTTTCACCTCCAAGTATTAGAACTGTAGTGATCTACTGCTTCTTAACAATTCACTTAAGCCAGGGACTGGAGAGATGGCTCAGTAGTTAGGAGCACTTTCTGCTCTTGCAGAGGATTTGGGGTTCTGTTTCCAACACCCACATGGTATAGCATAACCATCCATAACTCCAGTTCCTGAGGATTCAACACCTCCTTCTGGATTCTGTAGGCACCAGGCATAAACATAGGCATACACATAGGCAAAACACTCACACACATGAAATAAATACATATCTTGCTCAAAATTGATTTAAGCCACTATAACACTGCTAGCAAGAATCAATAACCTTTAACAATGTTACAAGGTTACTGAAATATCCCTTATAGTTTTATTTTAGTATCTTGATGCAAACAGATATAGTTCCCTTTTCACTTTTGATTTGAGGACAGCTGATTTGGGGCAACACACTCTTGAAAGCTGAAGAAAATAAAGTTTGGTGCTAATCAGCTTGTGTACAAGTCGGCACTTCTTTCTCCCAGTGTGGTGGACCCTCTTCCTCCTAGCTAGACTATGAACTGAACTTGTAAGTTTGAGACCCAACTATCTGCCTCTACGGGGTGGTGGGAGGGCTAGGCTGCTCACCTGAATCTTCACTATCGTAGCATGTCTTGGTGTATGACAGGAACTGAGCGTGGGGAGGCAGGTCCTGGGTAGACACTGGGGTACCCTGGGGATCTGCATAAAGCAGCAGTAAGGGCTGATAATGCCCTTTGATGCATTTGGTTACCACATCCTTCCATTTCGGACCAATCTGAGCCAGAAACACCAGAAGAATATGACAATTACCCTTCATATCCACAATTCAAAACATAATTCCTTTCCTAGTGTAGTCTTCTTACAACAAAAATTAGGTTAAAAAAAAGATTTTAGATCTAAACTTAATGACTTTCTATTAACACCTCTTTTTAAAGAAAGCATTAAAATACTATCAAAGAAAGATGAATGCAATTAGTTTTATTTCTGTGAACCATCAACTCAGCTTTGAAATATGCATAAAACCTCACAAAGGTGGACATGCTATGTGAGGGGTCTAAGTTGCTTTGGTGAGCAACTTTTTTTCATATATATTAGATTTAAGAGCTCACTTCAAATTTTCACTTCCACAATTTTTTCCTAAATATTAAAATCACCTTAACAAAGCTAAAAGGCAAATAGAAACTCTTTATGTTTTGTTTTTTGTTTTTTGAGACAGGGTTTCTCTATGTAGCTTTGGTGCCTGTCCTGGATCTCACTCTGTAGACCAGGTTGGCCTCAAACTCACAGAGATCCGCCTGCCTCTGCCTCCCGAGTGCTGGGATTAAAGGTGTGTGCCACCGCCGCCCGGCAGTAGAAACTCGTACAGAACGTCTTAGAAGAAATGGCAATTTCAGAGCTCCCACATGGCAGGATGTAACATGTGAACTGCTTAGAACGGACAGTCTGAACCTCTCACCTATAGCCTTGTGGCGGGCGGATCAGCTCTGCCATCACAGTGGAAGGAGGAGTAACATTAACAGCCATAACAGCCGTAGAAACAACAACTGGACCAAACCCCTAGACGCATCCCTTCTTACGCTTGAACCAGGCTTATTCTTAGGTGTAAGTTATGGCTTGCCAGTTAGACAACTAGCTAGTATGGTAGTTTACTCATAACAGACATTCAGTAAATTAAAACTAAGTTGCCATTATTTTAATTAAAGCATAGTTTATGTTTTCACATACCAATCTTATTATTTTATAAGAATACTTTTCAGATAAAAAACCTAATGTTCAAATAATTTGTTATCCCCCCAAAACAAACAGAATATGGGAAATATTTGACAAAGACTTTACCATTTATGGACGCTTTTGCTTCAAATCTACAGACTGATACGGTCAGCATAGCTGCAGCAGTCTCCATAGCTGCTGCTTTTTATTATTAATTAAATTTAATTCATTTATTTTACATCCCAACCATAGTTTCCCTTCCTCCTCTCCTCCCATTATCTTCCAGGCCTCCCTTTGTGCCTGATGATTTATGACAAGTGGCTTTCTAATTGATGCAGACACCTAAACCATGTTATCCACAGATCTGCTTTAGACAAGACCAAATTTCTTACTTCAAGCATCACTACAGCCCCATGTTTCATGTCAACCTCTAATAAGTTCTAATAAGCCACTCCAGGGAAATCAGAACTGTAGAATAATTTTGGGTTTGGTTTTGTTTTGTCAGGGTTTCTCTTTGTAGCCCTGTCTGTACTGGAACTAGATCTGTAGACTAGGCTGGCCTCCAGCTCACAGAGATCCGTCTGCCTGGGATTAAAGGTATGTGCCGCCACCGCCCTGCAAAGGTTAATTTTTAATAGCCTTGAAGCAAATTATTACCTATGGATAATGCCAGATTGAAAATCCTCAACTCAGTGTTAAGCATATAATCTAATTAGCTGCATTACATGTTCCCATTTAAATTAACCATTTAATAATGATGATGATGATTTGTCAATTATAAAAACATACCCATGTTGAATGTCTAGAGAGACTGAGAAAAAAATAACAAAAGATATCCTGTTCCTATCTATTACAGAATTTAAAACTAATGCCCTTACATTTAACAGATAAAGGCCAGGTGTAATACTCTTACCTGTAATTTGGAAGGCTAAGGAAGGAGGACTTCTACAAGTTTGAGGACAGCCTGGGCTACACTATAAGTTCCAGACCAGCCTGCATTACAGATCAAGACCCTGCTTCAGAAAAACAACCAACTAGGGCTGGAGAGATGACTCAGCAGTTAAGATTGGTTAATGCTCTTGTACAGGACTGGAGTTCAGTTCTCAACACCCATGCCAGGTGGCTCACAGACACCTGTAATTCCAGACCCAGCAAGATCTGACACCTCTAGCCTCTGTGGGCACCTGCACTCACATGCACATACCCACATAGGCAGGCATGCACAAATGTACAGACACAGACACAGTTTTAAAATTATAAAATTAGCCAGGCAGTAGTGACACATGCCTTTAATCCCAGCACTCAGGAGGCAGAGTTCAAGGCCAGCCTGGTCTACAAAGAGAGTTCCAGGATAGCCAAGGTTACACAGAGAAATCCTGTCCCTGCTCCCCCCCAAAAAAATCAACAAGTAATAATAATAATAAAAATTAAAATTAAACCTTATTTTAAGAAAAACAACCAATCCAATCACAAAGTATGTGTGTCTTACCAACATTGTAGAGAATCACCATTCAAAATTATTAAAATAAAAACTGGAGAAAATTAAATATGATTTTTCAAAATTTCAGTCACCAAATACTTCAAGATCTTTGCATATTCCTACCTCTTTAACATGAGCGTCATCAAAATACATCCATTTTCTGATCTTTGTTTGAAAAAAGAATGTAGAATAATGTTTGCCATAGTAACAGATCATTCCTACTAAGTATAGTTCAGACTGTTTGGCCCGGTCATCTGTCACTCTGAAAAACAGCTATGGGAAGAAAAAGTGAAGAAAGGAAAAGATCCATCACATAGGCAACCATCTAACACAATTCCTCAGCAGACTCCATCAACATTTCTCTTTCTTCTCCCACCCCAACAAGGCCACACTATGTAGCCCTGGCTGGGGGACTCACTATGTAGGCCAGTCTGGCCGCAAATGCATGGCAATGCTTAAGCCTCAGCCTTCTGAGTGCTGAGACTGTAAGCACGCACTACCACACCTACCTCTTCCATCAACATTTCGTTATTTTGTTTTATTTTATTGACATAGAGCCTCATGTAGCCCAGACTGGCTTTGAATTTATTGTATAGCAAAGAATGACTCTGAACTCCTGATCCTCTACTTCTGGCTCTCAAATGCTGGGATTACAGATGTGTGCTACCAGGTCCAGTGGCCATCAACATTTCTTAATGAAGACAGTAACTTGCTTCTCCCCTCAAGCTGAACTAACTATTTTTGCTGGTCCAGACTACTTATTAGAAAGGAACTGAAAAGGCACACTGGTGGCACATGCCTATAATCTCAACACTCTGAGGCCAAGACAGGAGGATTCTAAGTCTAAAGTTGGCCGAGGCTGCATGGTGAGTTCAATTTTTTTTTTTTTTTTTTTTTACCTTTTTTAGAGCTTTATTGGGGGGGGGGGTGAGAGAGGGAGAGAGAGCTCAATTTTTTTTCCAATATTTTCTCTCTGAGGCAGAAGAGAAGTCAGAACAATTTTTAAACAAAAACCAGCTCTCAAGTTTCAAATTTTTTCAGCTCCTAGGTGCTCAGCTCTGTCTCAAGTGCTAAGAGACATACAAACACTTGAATTAAGGGATTCTGACCTACGAATTTTTCTAATTAAGAAAATAGTCAAAATCGGGCATAGAGCACAGACCTATAATCCTTCACCTGTACTTAAAGACAGAGAGGCTGGGTCAAGGGAAGTAAGAGCTCAGGAGCAAAGGAGGCTGCAGAGCCCCTGGGGGTCCAGCTTGGGTTCTAAGAGATTCTGACTCAAAGATTTTTTTTATTAAACCAGAAATACAGAGTATATAGACTGTAAAACAAACAAACAAAAACCTATTTTTAAGATCTTACTGTGCCCAACCTACTTTAGTTAGATTCCTTGAGGAGACTCAAAATGTGACCCCAGACAGTTCATTCATTCATTCTCAAGAGTGGCTATTTAAAACAAGAACAGCCTCTCCTTAGTCACAGGACTACCACAGACAGAAACCGGAACAAAAGAAACCAGACTTTCTGGTTCTCCTTGAACTGAGAGAAAATACTAGCTCTCCCTACTTCAGGATACCAAGCCGCTACAAATGAGACCTATTCTCACATTTTTCCCATTCCCCAAAATAAATACACGGAAACCCCTAAGCTACTAAATTATCATCTAAGCTATTTTATTACTGTCAGATCCCAACCCCACAAAATGGCGATCTGGGTTCAGTTCAGGCTGGATTCTGACCCAGTAGCACTCAGCATTCCACAGAAACCTTGTAAAGTGAATTTCTGTTTGCCAAGGGAAAGTCATCACTTTCCTACAGCCCTCCAATCTCAAGAGAGCATCCAGTCCTCTATTAGCGTAAACAAGCTTCCAACAGGTCAGACCCTGCCCTCCTGCTGCCACAAGGTAACCCTAGAACTGGCAGGGCTCTCCTCAGATACCTCTGTCTGTTCTCCATCTCTTATCTACAATACAAAAAAAAACAAAAACAAAAACAAAAAAAACCTTCCCCCTCACAAGGGAGTGGCCTTGGGGGTGGTTTCTCTGTGGCATCCTCTCTGTGAATTTCCTCTTCTTGGGCTCAGGCCACCAACTTCTACCTCCTTCAGCTCCCAAAGTCAAGACAGCTTATTACTTTGACCTTACTATCCCATGGTTGAATACACTTCTCTGCACCATCCTGATATAAACAAACAGTAAACATCGATAGAAACTGATTGTTTTTTAATTAGTATCTAAGTTCTGCCCATCCTGTTGTTCAAGGCAAAAATTGTGCCATTTTTTTTTTCTAAAAGGGTTCTACCATCCTCACAAAAATGGTATGTGAGTATGTACATGAAGCTCACGAATCTGCACACAGAACACAAGTATGTCTGTCCAAAATGCTCTATTAATTGTCACATAGAACATAGCTTGAACAATACTGAAATAAAGACAGCTAACACATACATCACCCAGCTTAAGGCAGGTACCCAGACTGTGGATGACATCCTCTGCCAAGTCTGAATGGTCTGAGTCCCAAACCAGTCCAATTGTGATAATCTGTGGTGCGTTCATCAACACTCGGCGGATCCGGATCCTCTCCCCACAGTTGCTCTGAAATACAGACACAGTGCTAGTTCAAACATTCCCACCTGCTCTGTGGCAATGCTACAAGCCGGGGTTCTTTCTCATCCTAAATTCCATGGAGTTAACTCACCGGACAGTTCCGCAGATCCCCCATGGTGCTGGCGTTCTGAAGCAGTTCACCAAACATACTTGGTGACGGTTTCTCTCGTTTTTCCAGCATACAAATAGCCTGGTTACTTCAAGACGGGGAAAGGAAGAAAGTAATGGCAGATGTTGTACCAAGTTATGGCTAAATTAAAAAATCAAAATCATTCATACAAACCCTAACTCAGACATGTCATTTTCTTTTTCTTTCTTTAAGATAGGGTCTCATTGGGAGTTCTCTGTGGCTGTCTTGGAACTTGCTATGTAGACCGTTCTGGCCTCCAACACATAGGCCCATCAGCTCCTGCCTCCCAAGTGCTGGGATTAAAGGCGTGGTGTGCATGTGTGATTTTCATTTGCTGACTATACTACAGCCCCATGTCCTGACTAGCCTCAGTGTCCTACAAACACAGTGAGTCTCTCTGTCTGTCTCCAAATTCAAATCTTACAGACTCTCCATTTCTCCTCCCATTTTGCTAGCCATTAATAAGCCTAGGAATTCTGGACTTTTGCAATATAGCACAGATTCAACATAAAGATATATGCTATTTGGTGGCCTTCAGTTAAAACCCAATCAGCTGAAGGAATGCCTAACAGTGCAATAAAGAATTCCCTAAGAGCGGGCTACAAGAACGACTCAAGTGGCAGTTAAGAGCACTGGCTGCTCCTCCAGAGGACCCGGGTTCAGTTCCTAGCACCCACTTGTCAGCTTATGGCTGTCTATTACTCCAGTCCCAGGGGATCCACTACTCTCTCCCACCTCTGTAGGCACCAGGCATAAGCATGGTGCACAAACATACAGGCAGGTAAAACATTCATACACATAAAATAAAATCCACGAGAAGTCCATGAACTCACCACAGGGAAGTAGTAGAGATGTAATGCACCATCTGGATGAAGGGCAGGGGGTCGGAAGTGGCACCACAGCTAGTGCATACACACTGGGCCCGAGGGAAAGCAAACCGAGCAGTCACAGTCAGCAACTGTTCTGAAACCCACTGACTCTACATCCCCAGATAAAATGTCCTTCAAGAAAAAGTCTAAGACATGAGGATAGAGAGGTCTACCTGCTCAAACAATGTCATTGCAAATTTCTGGTGAGAAATGCAGTGTTGGGCAGTACATATATCCTCTTTGGTTTCATCCGCAATGTGGAAGTGAATTCTCATCAGGAGATTTTCCTGACCAAAAAAAAAAACAAAAGCAGCACACTTAAAAACCAAATGGACCAGTTGTAAGCAATTCACCCCCAAGACACAGAAACCTTCCTGGAAAGCAGGAATATCTCTAAATTTTTTTAAAGAAAAAAAGATAGATAGACAGACAGACAGAAGAAATTAATGTAAGGCATAGATCATTCAGATTTTACCAGTTTTGCATGAACTTGGGTTTGGATGCAACTAGATGCCATTTCCTCTAGTTTTGTAACAAAACATACAGTTTTGTAACAACAAGCACAATCAAGACACCACAGAGCTGCCCCATGCTCCCTCTTTACAGCCTCACCCAACTGCCGTACTCCTACTACTCACCACTAGCCTGCTCCCCACATTTATCATTGTCATTCCAAGAATATATCAGTATATACAGAAACAGTATATAAAGAAAAAACAGCATCGCATAGTACACAACTTTTTTTCTTTTTTCTTTTGGCAACAGAGTCTCCTGTATCTTAGGTTGGCTTAGAATTCACTATGTAGCCCTGGATGACCTTGTACTTCTAATACTCCTCCTTCCACTTCATGAGTGCTGGAATTACGGTGTGCACTTCTGTCGGATTTATACATTAGGGATCAGACTCAGCTACACACATTAGGCAAGTACTCTACCAACTGAGCTACATTCTCAATCCCAGTAAATAAACTTTTGATATTACATTTCCATTCAGCATTATTCCTATACCAACCCCCTTTTTTATTTTGAGATCGAGCTCCAGTCCTGCAAGGACTCCACTGCAAGACAAAGTCTTAAAAAGAAATAAATAAGGGGGCTGGAGAAATGGCTCAGAGGTTAAGAGCTGCTCTTCCAGAGGTCCTGAGTTCAATGCCCAGCAACCACGTGGTGGCTCACAACCATCTGTAATGAGATCTGGTGTTCTCTTCTGGCCTGCGGGGACACATGCAGGCAGAATAATAATGATATTAATAAATAAATAAATCTTAAAAAAAGAAACAAACAAACAAACAAAACAGAAACAGAATCAAACTCATTATGAAAAATCTCACTTTATAGGCCTGGGAGGTCTAGAACTTGCTACATAGACCAGGATGGCTTTGAACTCACAGAAATCTCCATGTGTCTGCCTCCTCCTAAGCGATGGTATTAAAGGCATGGACTACCACATCCAGCGTACTGTTTTAGTTCGTTACTTGGTCTGCCTATGCATAGGGGTGGGAATCACAGGACAACTTTTGGAAACCAGCTCCCTTCTTTTACCTTATGGCCCTGAAACTCAAACTCAGATTATCAGACTTGGCAGCACATTAACCATGTGCCACTAAGCCATCTCACTGGCCTCTGTCTTGTCTGTCATTCATGCTGAGGCAGGTTCTCACATAGTTCAGATAGGCCTTGAACTTGTTCTTCATCCAAGGTTGGCCTTCAATTCTGGTATGGTGGCACACGTTCACAATCACAGTACTCAAGAGACGGAGGCAGGAGGATCACCAAATGTTTAAGGTCACCCTGATTTACATAGTGAGTTCCAGTCCTCCAAGGACTCCACTATAAGACTCATTATTACAAAGAAATAAACAGTTAAACTCACTATGAAAACCAGCCAATGACCTCAAGTCTTCTGAACTCTATACTACTTATCCAACTTCAAAAGATTTTCCATAGCATTCTGTGTATCGGCACATGCATTTAGCAATTAGGATAAGGGAGATCAAGGATTAAAGTCACTAGAGCAATGTAACTGTTTATGAAGAACATCATAGTCTCTGTTTAATATTTTGAAAACAGAGAAGGTCAAAGTATGTGGTTGCCCAGACAGCGCAGCACCATCAATACAGCATTACCTGGGAATGTGTTAGAGCTGGCTATTCTCAGTCCTATGCCAGACTATTGGTTCAGCTCTGGGAGTACAATTTGTACTTCAACATGCCTTGATTCCCCTGAAGGTAAAAGCCACTGTTTTATGTAATGGCAAGCATTAAACTACCCTAATCCTGAAGGGGAAAAAAAAAATCATAAAGCCACTAGGCAATTCACATTGTAGAAGTAGACTCTAGAACTCTTGAGAAGGTTGAGAAAGTACTATTCCAATGCAGAGAACAGGGCATAGTAAATGCCATCATAAAATAGTCAGGACTTGATGGGATGAACAGTCCTACTCCATATCAGAGAGGGCAAGAGGGAAGCACTTACGAAGCACTCTGCAGCATCATCCATGATTCCCAGCTGGAAGCGTTGCTCATCCTGGAAAGTCTTTGCCAGAGCACTGCGGAGAGCGTCCGAGGGAAGCACTTTTTCACTGCTACACTGGAACTGATTAAAAATGCCCTGTAGGGATGGTTAGACAAGAGGAAAAGCACAATGCTGTTAGTAAGCCCCTGTAATCCTAGTCTGTCGTGCTATCATCCTCATGCTGACAGCCATGGAAACAAGACACATTCAGCTAGCTATTTAAAAAAGTCAAGTCTGAAAATTGGAATGAGGAAAATGTCTCTGCAATACATCTTGCATCTGAGTGTGATGCCATCAAGGACACATTAGGAGAACTCACTGTCAAGATATAATGTAATGCAGTTACAATACCTCCTGAAACAGAAAGGTAGATATGTAGTATAAAGAGTAAGCTATATGTAAATGGATTGGCAATTATTCTTTGGGAGGAGTCTTCCTACTATGAAACATAGCCCTCTTTTGTATTTTTCAGCTAATATAAGATTGTCCAAACTGACAAATAATATAGCAAGCCATGCCTTGTGTCCATAACCCCAGCACCTGAGAAGCTGAGGCAGAAAGATCAAGAATTTGAGACCAGCCAGGAGTGGTGGCTGGCACATGCCTTTGGACTTTTTCCCACTATATATACTCTTTCAGTAATATAATAATAATAATAATAATAATAATAATAATAATAATAATAATAGAACACTCTGTGTGTGCCTTCCACTCAGAAATAGGCATTCCATTATGTTTACTTCCAGTTACTTCCTTGCAGTACTTAGGCCAAAAACCTTGAAAATCATGATTGAACCTCTCCTGGTCTCTCACATCCTGTCAATTGTACTTCTACACTCAAATATCTTTAGAACTCACATTGCTCACCACCTCATTCACTGCCAACTCTTCTCTTCACTGGACGATTGTAACGATTTCTTTTTCTACTATTTTTTAAGGTTTAATTTTCATTTATGTGTGAGTGTGGGTATGTACAATGACACGCAGGTATGAGTGGAGGCCAGAGGCTTTAGATCCTTGAAGCTAGAGTTACTGGCAGTTGTGAGCCGCCTGAAGTAGGTTCAGGGAACTCACTAAACTTGGGTCCTCTGGAAGAACCACTTATCCATCTTTTTCAACCCAACTGCAACCATATCTTGAACCATGTTTCCAAAGAAATATACAGTAGGCTCAAAACAGTAGTCAGATGATTCTTTAAAAAATAATTAAAATTAGGTTCAGAATATAGCTCAGTTGGTTGAATGCTTGCCTACAATGCACAAAGCCCTGGCTTGGGTCCCCAGTACGGCACAAACCAGGCACAGTAGCACATGCCTGTAATGCCGCTGTTCCAGACATAAAAGCAGGAGGTTCAGAAACTCAAGGTACTCCTTGGCTACATAGCAAGTTTGAGGTCAGACCAAGCTACATAAAACCCTGCCTCAAAAAACAGTAATAAAATCAAATGTCATTCCTCTGTTGAAAACCCTCCAAAGATTTCCCATCACTTATACAGTAAAGGCCAAAGTGAAAATGTACCATGCTCTTTGACCTAATCTACTTCTGACTCACGCACACCAGCCATAAGACCTCTCACTACATCCTACAACCACTTGGATGACCTAGACTCAGGGACTCTGTACTTGTATTCCCTACTTGAGTCGGTGTCTCTTAGTGCAGCTTATTCCTGCAGGGTTTTATCCAAACATCACTTCTCAGTACAGCAGCTCCAGATCAACCTACTTAAATTGCAGGCTCTGGGCCAGGCATGCACACCTTTAATCCCAGGGAGGCAGCAGCAGTGGCAGGCAGCTCTCCGAGTTTGAGGCCAGCATGGTCTAAAGAGCGGACAGCCAGGGCTGTACACAGAGAAACCCTGTCTTGAAAAACCAAAAAAAAACAAAGAAACAAACAAAAACAAACAGTACTTCACCCAAGATACATGAACTTGGGTAAGCTATTTAACTTCTCTAGATGTCAGTTTCTCTCTATTTTAAGAGACTGAAGAATAATATTTACCTTTCTCAGTTAGTTGAACACTTAATGAAAAAAAGAGCACTATAAATATTAGCCTCCAATAAAATGTATACAGATTAGCATGTGTGTACACGATACACACGTAGATGAGGCTTATGTCTGACAGTAGTAACTGCCACCCAAGTGTCAGCTGTTCCTATTTTAAGTTACTAAGCTGTCCATCTGTCACTGTCCTATACTAAAGGAGCCTCAGTCAGATGCTTCTACCGAGCTAACAACTCAGTCTCTAAGGTCTGAGCAGGAAGGAAATTTTTAAAAATTTTTAAAAATATTTTATTTTCTATTCTCCTGTTCTCATTCAAGAAAGGCAGATTTTAGCCCGCTTGGTGGCACACATGCTTAATCCCAGCACTCAGGAAGCAGAGGCAATCAGATTTCTGTGGGTACCAAACCAGTTTGGTCTAGTGAGTTCCAGGTCAGTCAGAGGTACAAAGACCCTGTCTCAGATAAAATTTAAAAAAGAAAAGAAAAGGGGGGGAGGGAGAACAAAGAAAAAAGAAAAGCAGGTTTTCCATGCCTTAAAATGATTAGGATCTTATAAAATAAAATAAATGATTAGGATCTGGGCACAGAAAGGAAAGGTCCAAGGTCAGAGCTCTGTCTGCACACACAGGGGACGGGCAACAACAGATCTGGTCCTCGTATTCAGTAGCTTCAATGTCTCCATGCTGCATTCTTTCCTCACCTCCTGATTAATCACAGGCAGCTTCCCCACCCACACTGAGTACAGGCATGTGTCTCCAATGGCCCTTGACTGGCTCCTCTATCTTTCCTTACTGTAATTACCATCAGCCTTGCTCTGCTCGGGCTAGGAAGAACTGGATGGGGAGCAGCAGCCTGGGCCTCCCTAGCTTGCATCTGTGGAGCTGTAACTGCAAGAAGCTCAGGCACAAAGCCCCTCTGTTAGGGCAGCACACTAACCCTGTGTGTCCCTCTCACATGAGCACAGGGCCTGGACCCGGCCTCCTCCTGTTCCCTTTTCCACCCCTCCCACCTTTCCCAGAGGGAGATCCTGTTCACACCACAGAAAGCCAAGAACATTTAGTTCAGCAGTAAGAACAGGTGGCAGCACCAATAAGGAACAAAAACTGGTATTATTCCAGTCGCTGGGTTCCACAGCAGGAGAGAGAAAGGACAGGAAGAACTCAAACCCAGGAACCATCCTTTCTTGTGGGTTCCTAACAATTCCATGGTGATAAGCCAAAAAAACACAACACCTTTCAGGTTTCTGTCTACAGTCCCTCACACAAGGAAACTAAAGGTCCTTTTCATTCATAAAATAGTAAAATGTTTTTTATCTGTTAACTATTTTCTTGGATGTAGTACAAAATAACAAGACTCTAATGACTAGAAGCAGGTGCTTCCCCACCCATCTCTCTTGTATCAAGTGGCAGACAACTCTGTCCACGTGAGCACATAATTATCTGGATTAGCAGAGGCCATGTAAATAAGACACAGTGCCATGAAGACACACAGTCTCTGTGTTCTGGCATCTACAAATGCAGCTGCTGCTTAAGTCTTCTCTCCCCTAAACCACACACCCTTGCTTTAAGCAGAGAATAGCTTTTTATTTCCCTCTCGGAATATCTAGCTTTCCATCTAAATCTTTTTTTTTTTTTTTTTTTAATGTCTGGGCTCATTTCTTTCTTGCTTGCTTATGACACTCAGTGGCTTTCTCAGGCTTCCTTGCCACACTGGCCCTCCTGGGGAGCGGAGCCACCCATCTGCTTGGGGGAAGGAGACACCTCAGACCAGGAGGTCTAGGCCACAGACTCGCCTAGACTCTGGAGGGTGCTGGTAGCAGGAGGCTGCATGTCACCATGGCTGAAATTGCAGCCAACCAGCAGGTCTCCCCAAGTGATGCCACTGAAGCCAGTGTCCTCAAAAGCTCTGGTGTGCTGTCTGCCTCTCCTCTGCAGAGTGGCCTGGAGAAGGCCTCGCATCTTCTGTTTTCCTTGGCAGTGGGCTCTAGAACCATCGAGCTTACCTTCCATTCCTAGGGAGGCCTCTGCAGACACTTGCTGCTCTTCTCAGTACAGCACTTCACCCCAATAACTGGCACACATGCCTCCTGAAGTGGCCCCTCAGCCCTGGAGTTCCAGAGTCAAAATCTAGCTTTAGAATTTAGGTGGGTGGGCTGACTCTTGCTGGAGGCCTCCAGAAAACATTAATCCAACTGATCGAGAATAAGACCCTACCACAACTCAAAGCCAAGTTTGAAGGAAGCTTTAATTAAATACTGGCAAGGTGGATGGACTCTGGCCTGGTCCATACTTAGGATCCCAAGAAATGGCCCTAAAATAATTCTTAAGTATTAGAGACAGTGAGGTTCAGGAAGAGATTATGTTCTCAGTAATTGTAATACTTGAAGGGCTTGAGGTCTTCCCATCAGCAGCCCAACTTCCATCACTCACAGGTGTCCAGCAATCCCTTTTGCAAAGGCATCATATACCTGCCTGACATTTGCTCAGATCTTCAGGATTCCAGTTCTGATCCGGGCTTCCCAATTTGTTTAGCATTTTGGTTCTCATGATCATTCTTTTCCTACACCTTCTGGAAATCAAAGAATCTAAATGTAGACAATCTAGTCTGTAAACATAAGCCTCTGGAAGTAAGGAAGTTAGTCTCTGAGGCTTGTTGATGGCTGACAAAAAAACAACTTCCATTGATTTTGTGTGGTCAAAGAACGCTGTTAGTTCTCCTTCAAGACAGGGCAAGGTCACGCACATATTTATTTGAAGCAACCTAAATGCCAACAAAAGATTTTTCACATTTTGTTATAGAAAAGTTTTAAATACATCAAGAGCAGACAGACTAGCATGACCAGCTTCCATGTGTCCATGATCCAATTCAACAATGACCAGTTTGTGGCTAATTTAATTCTCTTCATGTTGCTTGCCTGTATATGTATCCTACTCCAGATCTTTTGAGGCACATGCCAGACATTTTTCACCTATACGTACTCCAGAATATAACTCTAAAAAATAACTTTTTATTTAAAAAAAAAAAATGCCTATACCATACCATCCTCTAAACAGGGTAACAAGAATTCCTTAATATCATCAAATTATCATCCAGTT